TGGAGAAAGCCTTGGCTTTAGGCCTACTTCTCTAATTCAAATGTCTACCTTGGCTTACTTTGGCCTTGATTTATCACCCCTAAGCCTATTGAATAATCTTTCTAGCATTCTACTAAGTTTCAGGTCCAGCGATCAGAACAGAACAGATTTTTGTTTAGCAACATAAGCAGAGCAGGTCTGGGGGGGCTTCGCTTAGCAGAGCAGGATATTTGGTTAACTCCTTACAGGCCTTGCTCTTGTTTCAGTCCCCCCTTTTCTTAGACTTGCGAATTCTTTCATCAAGTTCCAAAGGAAACTAATAGGTATGCATCATTGCCCATATTATCTGTATTTTCTTGACGAGGGTACTTACTTTGTACCACAGCCAAATATTCAAGAGGGATAGCAGGATTAAAACTGCTACCATGATCAATATTGGATGTATTAGGAAGTAATTACCACTTGTGTTGCTGTGGGGGGATATCCTGTAAAGACATCCCACCAACGATGTTCTCCCACTTGTTCTACTTTAGTTAGGATAGTGTTCCGCTTGCCAAAGTATACATTGGGTTGTTCTGTTCACCTCTTGGACCAGTTTTTCTGTATTGGGGGGTCTAAGCATTGTTTTGAAAAGATCAGCATCCATGCCTATCTGCAATTTGGGTACATCATGATACAAGGTGTAATCAGCCTCAATCAGTTGCCTAGTGGTTACAGGAACAGTGTAATCAAAATCACAACCTAGGATTCCAGTAAAATTGCACACACAAAAATGAGCACCAGTTGCTACTTGGTGACAATAATCAATGGTGAGGTTAGCACAGAGGGTCCTAACACATGCACATCCATCTCCTACATAATAGACTTGGGACTGGGTCTTGGCAGGGGGAAGCATCTCAAAAGTACATACACAATTTTCAGTATCTAAGCACAGATCTTCATCTTCTACAGCTGCATTCTCACAAATATATGCCAACTGTCCTTTGGGAATACATGCCTCTGTTCTGACTGACTGCCATTTGCCTTTGGTGCCATCATAACTTGCCCAAACATCACGGCCTATGGGCCTAACGATGACATTCTGGTGTTTGGCTCCCAGTGTCAAGACAGGAAAGATCATTTTCTCTTTGACTGTGCTGATAGTGAGAACATGAGCTTCAATTTACTCCCATTGTGAATTGTAAGTGAAGTCCAAACCCCAGTGAGTTTTATCATGTTCTGCTTTTACAAAATGCCACACTAATTTCTCTGGTAGTATCAACTGACCTGTTTTTAATTGGCCCTACCCATTGTCTAGCAGCTTACCTCTGTTTTTATGTATCCACTTATAAACTATTTCTTGATGCTCTACCTGAGGATCTGTGTCTAATCCTTCTGGCACTAGAGCTGCTACTGGTAATTCTTTACTTCTATTTCTGGGACAGTGTTACCTTTCAGGTGTCCCCTACAGCGCACAATAGCCACCCATGCTGGGAGCTGGACGGCTTCTAACACTTGTAGGATCTCCTCTGCATGTTTTACAGCTTTCCCTTGGGCAGTCAACAGCCCTTGTTCTTTCCAGATTGCCCCGTGGGCGTGTACAATGGCAAAGGTACATTTAGGATCAGATGTTCATCCGCTTTCCCTTTGCCAGCTCAAGAGCTCGGGTGAGAGCTATCAGTTCTGCTCTCTAGGCTGAAGTCCCTGCAGGCAAAGGGTTTGATTCCATTACCTGTTCTGTGGTGGTTACTGCACAGCCAACCATCCTTACACCTTGCTTTACAAAGCTGCTGCCATCCAAACACCAATCATCTGCGTCCTGGAACGGTTCTTCTTTGAGGTCTGGGCAGCTGGAGTGCACTGCCTCCATGGTCTCCAGGCAGTCACGCTCGACAGGTTCAGCTGAGAGTCCTCCTTCTAGGAATGAAGTTGGGTTGACAGTGTTAGTCACCTGAATGGTTCCGTCATCTGACTCAGCCAGGATCACCTGGAATTTCAGGAACTGCAAAGGTGACAACCAATGGTTCCCTTTTTGTTCCAGCACTGCTGATACACTGTGGGACACCAGCACAGTCATTTTCTGTCCCATTGTGAGTTTCCTGGCTTCTTCTATATTTACAGCCACTGCAGCCACTGCTCTCAGGCAGGTGGGCCATCCTTTGCTTACCTCATCCAATTGTTTAGGAGCTGGAAGCCACTGTGCAGCAGGAAGCCATGATGTAGTCGCCATCACAGAAACGTGATGGGATGACTCGCATGACTGGAGTGCTGCTATGGAAGGCTACAAGTTCTTCAGAAAGAACAGGCAGGGTAGGAGAGGTGGAGGGGTGGCTTTATATGTTAGAGAGTCTCTTGACTCTGTTGAACTTGAGGTCAGCAACGATAAGGTTGAGTGCCTGTGGGTCAGAATCAGGGGGAAGACCAACAAGGCTGACATCATCATAGGTGTCTGTTACAGACTGCCCTACCAGGATGATGAAGGGGATGAATTATTCTACAAGCAGCTGGCAGATGTCTCAAAATCGTCAGCCCTTGTCCTTGTGGGTGACTTTAACCTGCCTTTAATCTGATGGGAGCTCAATACTGCAGAGAAGAGGCAGTCTAAGAGGTTCCTGGAGTGTATAGAGGACAATTTCCTTCATCAACTGGTAAATGAACCTACCAGGGGTAAGGCCCCGCTAGACCTGCTGTTTACAAACAGAGAGGGGCTGGTGGGAGATGTAGTGGTTGAAGGCCGCCTGGGAAATAGTGACCACGAA